CGTCGGCGCGCCGGGCGGCGCCGTCGCGTCGACGGCGGCGACGACGGTCACGGGCGTCGCGACGGCGGCCTCGGCCGCCGTCGGGTCCGCGAGGACCGCGCCCTCGAAGACCGCGCACGTCAGCGGCGCCGCGAGCAAGGCGAGGGGCAGGGGCCGGCCGGGCACGGGCGCGTCGGCTCCGGGCCGCAGCTCGACGGCGCCGGCGTCGTCGACGGCGGCGCCGGGCAGCCGCGCGGCGTTCAGCGCCGCGGACGCCGCGAAGCCGCAGCAGTCGGCCGCCGCGCCGTCGTCCGACTCGACGAGCGCGACGACCCTGAGCGCCCAGAAGGCGCCGCCGGCGACGTCGAGCTTCCGCCGGTCCAGCGCCGCGTCGGAGCCAAAGGACCCGTCCAGGAGCCGCTCGACGGCCCGGCACCAGCGGTCGTCCGCGGCCGCGGCGCCGCGGCGGACCTCGAAGCTCAGGAGCGGTGCCTCGGGCTCCGCGACGCCGAGCTCCACGGCGCAGCGGCACCGCGACGCGCCGATGGCCGCCACGGCGCACCCGATGGTGAGCTGGTCGGCGCCGGACCGCGGGCCAAAAGCCTCGAGCACGACGGGCCGCGCGCCGTCGAGGGCGCGGCCGTCGGACCGGTGCTTCGCGGCGACGGCGCGGCGGACGGCGCGCGCGGGGTGCAAGCGGTCCCGCAGGCCGTCGATCTGCTCGAGCTTGACGGCGGCCATGGCGTGTATTTATGCGGCTGCTTATGGGCGCTGGCGGCAGGCAAAGCAGCCCATCGCTTGCCACAAAAACAGCCGATCGCGATGGCGGCCCACATGGACCTCGACGAGGCGCTCGACGACCGCGCGCTGCGCGCCTTCATCGATGGCCTGCCGCGGCAGGGCCAGGACGACGCCGCCGTCGCCGCCTTCCTCGCGTCGACGCCGCTGTCGGCCCTCCTCCTGCGCGCGGCGTCGAGCGAGGCCGAGGGCGGGTCGCGCTTCGCCCGCGACGCTCTGCGGCGCTGCGTCGGCACGCCGACCGGCGCGGCGGCCCTCGTCGAGGACGAGGCCATCGCGCTGCTCCTCGGCGGCGCGGCGCACGGCGCCGCGGCCGTCCGCGCGGAGACCGCGCGCGTCGTCGCCGCCGCCGCCAAAGCCGCCGCGGACGTCGCGCCGCTCGCGGCGGCCTGCGGCCTGTCCCTCGGCGCGCTGCTCGGCGACGCGAGCGTCGCCGTCGCGGAGCAGGCGGCGCTGGCCCTGGGCGAGCTCGCGCGGCGCGGCGCCGTCGGCGCGGCCGCGGCGGCCGTCGAGGCCGCGCGGGCCTCCGCGGCGTCGGCGACGGTCGCGCTCCGCGTCTGCGACTGCGCCTGCCGCGTCGCCGTGCTCGCGGGCGCCGCCCCCTGGGACGCGGGCCTCCTCGCGGGCCCCGTGCCGCTGGCCTGCGGGCCCTCGGACGACCCGCTGAGCCGGCTCTCCGCGCTCGAGGGGGGACCTCTAG